ATTATTGAGTCCTTCGGGACTTTGAGAGCTTCGTTTGAAAATCAGTTATTACGAATTTGCTCTTCGGCAATTTCTCCCTATGATCTCTCCAATCCACAGCTGTCTTTGGAGTCGTTTTTGAAATTTGCACCACTCCGTCAGCTCATTAGCTGCTGAAGAACAAGGAATTCATGATTGTTTCTGGTGCACGCTGACTGGCTCTGACATTTTCATTGAAGCATATTATCTCACATTTCTCACAAATAAAACTTCAAAATGTGATCCTGTTCAAATATTTGTGAAATGTCCTTCACTTTTAACATCTTCGAAAAAAACAATGTTGTGCCAAATTGTATATTCTAACAACTAGCTTCCCATCACACAGAGAATACAGTTCAAGATCCTGGTCCTCACCTTCAAAGTCCTTCATGGCCTTGCTCCCCCCTACCTCTGCACGACCTCCTAACCCCCTATCAAGATGCCCGCACCCTCCACTCAGCAGGCTCCGGCCTGCTTCACATTCCCCGCCTCGCCCGCCCAACCATTGGCGGGCAGGCCTTCAGCCATTCTGCACCCACCCTCTGGAACTCCATCCTGCAGTCCCTCCGTCTCGCCCCTCCCCTTGCCTCCTTCAAGACCCACGTCAAGACCCTACTCTTCGACCGTGCATTCGATCACCCTCCTTCCCCCCTTGCCCTCCACCCTCCCCGATCCCAACCTCCAATTCAGGTCCTAAACACTGATTGTCCAGCGCCTTGAGATGTCCTCCCAATGTGAAGGGCACTATACAAATGTAATTTTGTTGTTGTTGTTGTCTTCAGTATATAGACTTTGTTTCTACTTGAGTGAGTGGAAATACCATAAAAGTATACTTTATGATTCTACTGCAATTACCAATTCGCACCATCCTATTTTGGTCCTCCCTCTTTGAAACATTTGAAACATTGCCACTGTTAGCCAGTGCAGTAATTCAAATTGGAACTTAAATTTAAAGCGTAGTTTGCATGGTTTTAACATTTGCGTTTGTTGAGTCCTAAAAGAATAATTGCCATTGTTATTCGCAAATTGCTTTGGGATATCTAGCAATCACCTGCGGCAAATGACATTCAGCACAATGGGAGATATTATCCAGAGTGTGATTTTATACCATAGCGGGGTAAACAGCCATCTTAGAACACAAATTGGCTCTGGAGATGAGAGGAAAAGCAATATAACATATTGTCTGTGTTTCCTATTTTAAAATATATTAGCTTGCATAAAGCCTGTTTCAGACATTAGGTATTTAATGTTGTAGTGTATTGATACTGAGTAATGAATGTTACCACGTATTAATACTGACTTGTGCACTTGGCTTGCACACTAAATTTGAAAGCCTACAGCAATTGCAATTTTGTGCAACTGTGGTAGTCATAACTGTTTTTAAGCAAAGCAACATGAGTTGAAGAATGGTGGCGCAAAAATGCTTAATTATAAATGTATTGTAATAATTGTGAACCTATAATCCAACAGGCTTGCACTAGTTTAACCACATGCAGTTGCTGCTCTAAATCCAGTGCAAAACTAAAAGAGTATTAAAACACCTAGTCACCTTAGAACATTTTATCACCTGATCCTCTTCACAGGATTATGGTTATGTAATACACTCCCGTTTCTTCTCTGTTTAATTTACAATCTGTATCTGATTAAGCAGGCATACGTACATGTGAAATTTTCTTTATAAAATCAGTGTGAGAAACACTGCAGATAAATGATTAAACAGGAATGAATACACAATGTTACATAGCATAATGTTACATAGCATAATTAGAATGCAGCTTCTGGGCTGAGTGGAATTCTGATGGTTTTGGGTATTTTACGTCAACTTTCCTCTTACCTGGTACAGGAAAGATACAAAATCTGTTTTTTTTCGCAGGCCAAGTTGGTGATCATTTAATCTACCTGCGTTAAAAGCAAGACGAACACTAACTGGGGCTATGAAGCTTATGAAATTTTAAATTTTGCCTCTCAATAAAATTAGAAAATATAGCAAGAGAAAATGTGATCACTGCTGCTAAATCATTAACTGGGCAGTGCATGTAGGTAGTCACTCTGGAGCCACGTGCTTGTGATGCATTGTGTCAGTATTCCTACATGGGCTGTTTTAATTATGCTCAGCCCCTGGTATACTAAGCCTGCTCTGTAGGGGGTAGGCACCATCTTCACTCTGATAGGCACACAGGGGAAATCATAAATACCTTAGAAACCTACCGTGATGTGAAATCTATCCCTTGCCATGGCAACGCAAGACAGGGGCTGCATAATTTCAACATTTTATGACCTCAGTTTATTGGGTGTGAGAAAAAATAATGTTGTGGTGTAAGAAGACAGTGTTCAAGGTTTAACTATGGTCATTTTAAAGGTGCTAAGGAAAACCATGAGGCCTGTAAGGATTTGCTACTGTAGCACTCGTATCTGCCCGAGTGTGAGTGCATGTTTGCAACTATGATGGATAACAGCTGAAATATATCGTCTTTATGGTTGAAATTTAGTGAAATGTCAGATTAATAAGAACATAACATAAGAACATAGGAAATGCTAAATGAAAAAAGACCAAGGTCCATCTAGTTCTCCTTCCACCTTCCTGGCTGTCACATGCACATATGTCCCAAACTATCTATGTACTATATCCCATAATGTTATTTCCTAAAAGAAAACTGTGTTTGAAAGAATCAATATTTCCTGTTTCAACCGTCTCCCTAGGGAGCCTGTTCCACAGGTTCACTATTCGCTCACTGAAATAGTGTTTGCATAGATTTGTTTTGAATTTACCCTCTTTCAATCGCAATCGCAGATTAATGGGATATATAAAAATCTATGCATTAAATTATTTCAAAACATTCAAAACAATGAGAATATTTATGCAATTTACTTAATAAGATCCCTACTGCGTGGATTGTATGTGCGAACAGAATAAGCACAATTGCGTGCTTATTTGTTTAACCCACAGGGAGATGTTTACTTAGTGTGGTCTGGCGCTTGTCCTCTTTATTCGAATGAATATTAGTTTATAAGACGTTGTTGGAGCTCAGTGGTGAAAACTACGAACAAATCAGTTTTACTATCAGTTGAGGTTTATGAATCTGTTCTGATGAAAAGCTTGCACTTTTGTTCATTAAAACTGTTAGCATCTGTTTTTTTCATAAGCATCTTTGGAGAACATTGGCATTGCTGACCTTTTGGGTTTGTGTTATGATTACAATGTGTGATAATATGAGGCCTAAGTACCATCTCTGAGACTGAATATAAAGATGGTATTATACATTCAGATGCATCTGTGTATACACATGATGCAATGAATATTGGTGTGAAACATTGAAATAGAATTATAAACCTGCAGATCATTAAGCATTTTCTATGGGAAGAAATTCCACCTGTGTCTAAATTTACGCAATTTATGGGGCATTTCAGAACTTCAAGAAAATGGCTAATTGTTGAATTCAGTCTTAACCTTGAAGGCTTTTTTTCATAGTTCTTAAAGGAACTTACAGAAAACTAGCTTCAAAATTAAGATTGTGGTTAAGAAATTGCCATGAAATGCTGAGTAGGTTTAAGGGAAGCTAGATAGGTACATGAGGGAAAAAGGAATAGAAGATTATGCTTGAAGGCTTAGTTACGGAAGTGCAGGAGGAGGCTCATGTGCAGCATAAACACCGGTATAGACCAGTTGGGCCGAATGGCCTGTTTCTGTGCTGTACATTCTAATGTATTCCAGATTTAGACCATGGTGCAATTTCCACCAAAGGACACCGGGAGAAACTTCCTTTTCTTTTCTTTTGACCCACGGGATCCTTAACGTTCATCTGAACAGACAGACGGGACCTTGGGTTAACATCTCATCCATAGTACAGCACCTCCAACAATTCAGTGGCTTCCTAGCACTGCAATGGAATGTCAGCCTTGACTGTGAACTCGAAGTCCCAAAATAGGACTTGATCTCACAACTTTCTGGAAATCATCTGAATTGTCAGGAGGTAAACATTCAAAATAAGCATGTAGGGATAATCCTTGTCAAGGTTAGCGTGGGGATTCTAGTTGGCAGCAGTTATCATTTCTGCCTGGATGATCTCTTCTTGGGTAGAATGTAATCTTCTGTTAATCCATTCTATTCTGTCATGGTGTGCATTGTTGTTTCACATTCCCTGCAATAGGAGATTCCCATTTTGCGTGGTATCCAGAAAAGAGCTTTTTGCTCCATTTTGTCTACTGGTCATCTCCTTGGGCAGCATGAGATGAATCCAGCCAAAGCATTTGTTCTCACATTAATAGGGGCAATGAATGTCAATAGCCTATTCAGACATCGAGTGTGTCGGAGCCGAGCAATTAAAAGTAGGAACCATGACTGATCGCAGAAAGCATCAGGGTTTTTAAGAGGACACATGAGAGAGAAGTAGAGAAGCATGTGAGGAGGGGTCTAGAATAGGTGGTGGCTAATGTGGGATATAGCACGAGCACAGACTAGTTGGGCTAAATGGTCTGTTCAGTTACTGTGGAGTCTGTATAATTCTATGTAGATATTTGGCACAAAAATGTATATATAAAATCAGTAACTACTCAGTATGAATGATTAAATTGAATGATTCAACTAATATCATTGTAATAGGATTTAAATCCAAGAAATCCAAAGCTAAAAGAATATTTGTAGGTATTTTGTGCAGGGTAAATAATAACATACATGACGGATTGATTATATTTACAGACTTTATAACAAAATGTGTTTTCCGTCTCATCTTACAGATATGTTTGTATTGCAATAACCTTGTAAATTGTAGGTCGTCTGTGTGCATAAGGGAATACTGCTGCATTGCCGAGCAGTAATGAGACACATTTTAAATATAATATGGTTGATTTTTGGCTGCAGGTTTGATGCTTTTTAGGCTTTTGTTGAACATACTTTAATCATTATTCATGTGGTTCAGGCCAAACTTGACAAATGATTGTGTTTTGAAAACTAATAACTATTGGTGAAATCCATAATTTTTCAGAATGTGATAAAAAAACAAGACTTGTTTGCCACCAGTCACCAGATGCATTACTCCAACCTTTCAAGGAAAAAATGGAAGCATTTATCGAAAGTGGTGAGTAACATTCTTGTAGTGTTTTTATCTCTTACCTACCTTAAACCACATTTCTTAATCTCACAATATCGGTTTTGGATTAAATCACACAGCTGGTTAAGGTGTCTCCCATATTAGGCTCTGAATTCTCTTTTTAACTCTGTCTTGGAATCGGTTCACAATGATTTCTTTAGCTGTTGAAAATATAATGTATGAGCATCAATCTGGTGCAGTGCCATCAGTGATGCTTCTTTTATGGTGTTTTAATCAAATTCATCTTAACTCATCATTAGCTATCAATTCAAATGCTTTCATTTCAGTTTAAGCTTTTTAAAAAATGATCAATGGAAGCCATATTATTGCATAATACACTATAATTTTTACAGGGGTTGCAAGTATTATGGCATCGAAAACTACTAAAACTTTGCTCTCATGGTTTATGATGACATCTGAACCCCTTGATTAAATTACAGTCTTATTACTCAGTGCAGCCATGCATAATTGTATGTGTTGTTCTGCTCATTGTAGCCGTCAGCCTGCAAAGATATATGATACCATGTCTCAGATACCTTGTTTAATCTACACTTTACTGGGTCTAACATGAATCAGCAAAGACTGTAACTCTTACTACATAATTGATTGGGCAATTGGTTTTTGTTCCTTCTTTCCACAGGAAAATGTTCCTTTGTTTAATGTTGGATTGCTTGTCCAATGTCCTTGTCCAATTTTTCATCTAGTTCATGTACTGATATTTTTATTTGAACTAAATATTGTAAGCGCACTGAATTGATCCCCTCTCCCTCTTCCCCCACCTCCCCCCACACACCGTGAATGTGCCATTACCAACCCAAGTGCTGAAATTGCCCCACTTCTCCATTTACTAAAATGCTAAGTTGTTTAGATCATCACAAAATGTTGTTTTTGTTTTCCTGGAAGTGACTGAATATGAGTACAAAGTATGTCTTCATTTGCAAAAGAAAAAAGGAAATTAATTTTCCTTGAAAAATGCTTCCCACTGACACTGGCATTTTTCAAACTTTGTTTTTATTCCTAAAAATATGGCTTAAATATCAATCAAACAAAAGTAAAATAAACAAACTTCAAACACCATAACAACAAGTTTCAACAGCGAGATCAGATTCACCGTATTAATCATCCTGATGAGGATTATGGAGTCATCGTCATGTTGTTTTTGGAGTGTGCACAACCATTTAGTTGCATTCTCGTGTTTCCAGGCAAACCAATATTGCCTTTTATATTTGTTTGTTCAACTTGTGCTCATTTACACTGTACTGCAAATCACTCTAAAGGAATAAGGATAGTTATTGTTAAGATCATATTCCTGTCAGTTCTATGCATATCATGTACATTCTGGTGAACTTCTTCAACTGAAAGTTAATTCATGAAATATGCTAACAATGTGATTATTAAACCCACTGCATATAAGAAGCCAATGTTATTTGATGCAGCATCATTCAACTTTCAGCATCGCAGTTGCACTACCGCTGGATGTTTAACAAGTATTTATTTGAAGTGTTACTTTATTAATAAAGCAGTACTTTTGCTGCAAAGAGAACATGTCCCCCCTCTAGAAAAATAACACATAAATCATTGCATGTTATGGAAGGTTTGCTGGGTGTTTGATCCTCATATTCTTTATACCCAACCTTGGGTGAATATCTGAAACCTGAGCCCACTCAGCACAATTCTATTCCCTTCCTCATTCAATCTATTCCACAACAGAGTGAAACAATTGCAGTTTGTTTACTAAATTCTGTATTATGTTGGGATTTTTGAGTCAAATTTGTGCCTCCATTAGAGGAAATTTGCCATGAATTCTTAGAAAAATGGAGGCAAACCATACATACTCTGGTCCAATTGTTTCACCTATATTGAGGTTTACTCCGTCGGTGACTTAGCTGGTACAGTATTAGAACAGTCAGAACTGATGCACCAGCAGATTGGAGCCCACAGGTTGAGGCCATATCATGTGGCAGGCTCAAGCGAGGCAACATTAGTTAGTGCTTTACATTTGAGCAAGTGTCTCAAGTTGTAACTAGGATGGGATTTAACCCCACTCTTTCCACAACTTTTTTTTATTCTTTCTTGGGAGGAGTGTCTTGTTGGAAGACAAGCCTTTATTCCTTGCTCGTAGTTGCCTTGAGAAGGTGGTGGGCCTTACTTGCTATTTAGACATGAACTTCTCTGAAATATCTAACTGATGAGCAGTTTTGTAAACCATATGCTTAAAATGGTATACAGGCACTAAAAAGTATTGGTGCTAGATTTTCATTTATTTTTAAAAATGGGTTAAATTAGTTTACCGTGACATTTACAACTCTGTGTGTGCTTTTCGGTTTCTCGTGACAATCTAACTGTGTTCAGAATGATTTACACAACCTTCTCTTTCAACACTTTTCACAGGGAGGGGATTTGAGGGTTGCTCACATTTCTAGTTTTAATTGCCACTGACTCACTGTTCTTTCTTGTACTCACCCTGAAGTTTCTGAGAATAAACATGTGTTTTCTGTTGAAGTGAGCATTTGTCCAGCATTTGGATTTACCAACCTTATTGTAAGGCTGCACTGATCGTTAATGTTTTCCATTCGATCCAAAAAAAGAGAAAGCATGTTTTTATCGGATCTGTTTTGAATTTGTTCAGCATTTATGGCAAACAAATTGTGCAATGGCCGGCTCTCAGCACTTGGAAAGGAAAAACAACTTAACCGTGCTAGAAGACATTCATAGAATCTGCATCCTTGAACTATTCCAAGAGAATAATTTTGATTATCAGACTGTCAAGGACACACTTTACAATAGCCTTTTTCATTTAATTGACATCACATGCTTAGCATTTCCAGCAATGGTTTATATGTGATGTTTTACAGATCTTCCTTGCCACTGCTGGAACTACTTTACTATGTTTTGGTCAACCTCCTCCTTCCCCTTTCCATTACAGTAGTTAATGCTTCAGAGCATGCTTACCAGCCGGCCTTATCTGCAATTTTTTCCCATTGCAACTATCACTTTCCACCCCCTCCTATTTTCTTTGATCTGCTTGAATTCTGACTTTCTCCCTGTTGAGAGTCTATCTGCCTTCTCGTTAAAATGTGGTATCTTTCTGCCAGCTTCCATTTCACCTTTCCATTTTCTCCTAGTTTTTCTGTCTTGTCTCTCACCTCTCATTATCCTGTTCTGCTTCTCCTGGTACAGAGCTAAGATCACTGATGTGAAGAATGGCCCACACAAGCACAAGTTGAACCTAATGTTCCACAGGGCTCTCAAAGATATCATTACAAACCTAATGTGAGGTATAAACACAGAAGTCGCTGGGAACATGCAGCAGGTCAGGCAGCATCCATGGAGAGAGGAAAATGAGTTAACATTTCAGGTCAATGGCCTTCCATCAGACCTAATGTGAGATGAACTGCCTCACATTTGTGAAAAAGGACAATTGTGTAAAATAAAAAAAGTCACTACTAAATATGCAAATACGAATATATATAACATTTATTGATAGAATAAATGCATTATGTATTCTGTAGAACTGCGATACATTCAATCAAAATGTGCGTACTTTTCAATAAATGTCTGGATGTTTTCAGACATCTTCAAGGCATTCTCTTGTTTCTCAGAATTGTAGAGATGAAAGTCTCATTACTAATAAATGTATGCATACATCCTTTGAGTAGCTTTTCTGCTCACAAAGTGAATATCAGTTACATTCTCACCCCCAAATATGTTTACATTCTTCATTCTCAATAGACATCTACGGGACTGAGTGGATTGCTCTTTCAAAGATCCAGCACAAAAACAATGGGCCGAATGGTCTTCTTCTTTGCTATTAATTTCTATATTGTTTAATCCGCACTCCATTCAGCCATGACACTTTGAACCAATGTAGGAGGTTAGCCCTCTGACCTCACACCTCTCCCTTCAAGGAAAGGTCTTTGTTTGATATTTTTCACAGTGGTATAGCTAGGATTCGGTTATTTGTGTGAGGAATATTGGGATCAACCTCACATTTTATTACACTTGCAGCACAAGTTATTGGCAAGGTTTAGGCTCCTGATCGCTATCCAGTAACAACTGATGGAAGAGGAAGATTGGATCTCTTTTCCAGCCATCGGACATCCATCACCACAATGTCTGAGTAACTGAGACTTTCTGCAAAGACCATGTTCTCCATCTCAAAGCACAAGGTTCAGAGGTTTATACCAAGGGTCATATTATGCTGCTTTCCCTAGGGTGACATTTTTAAGAGAGGTTTTCATACTCTGAGCTGCAGAGGTGCTGCCAAACACAAGAATGGGTTCTATTGCTGCTGCTTTGTAGCATCCTCTCCATCCTCCCAAACAAGAAAAAGAACAAGTTATTTCAGAACTGGCAGTTCATAAGGTCACCCAGTTATCATGTCAGCAATTTTCCTAGATACCAACTAGCCTTCAGTCTGAGAGATGTTTATTTCCCCTCAAAGCCATTACGAAGGAGGTGCTGCTTAAACATTTGTTTTTCTGCAGCTGAATGCATCAACAGCCAGGAAGAGATATGGTTCAGGAGTTTATACAAGACCAAAAGATAAGGCATTATAACATGAGTTAGGAAGGAACACTAATTCCCAGCACCTGACATGATAGAAAATATCTCCCCAAGGCAGATCTCCTAAGAGCAACAATACTATTCTGATAGTTAATATCAAATGCAAGGATTATTATTATATTACGTTATTCTGCAATTGGAACTTGTACAAACGATCTTTGTACATACGATCTTTGGCTTGTGGCACCAAGGATAAATCTACTTAACTCAGATATGCATAAAAATAAAGAGTAAGGTAGATATTTTGTCCAACATCAGGTGTATCCAGTAAATAATCCCCTATTTGGGGCCAGAACTGTTGTTAACCTGATGGTTAATATTTAGCACTATATTTGCTAGACAGAAGCATGCTTTTGTAATTTAGGATTGCCTGTCACTGATTGCCAGGGAGTATTGGAAATCCATTCGGGAAGAGCTAATCC